TCCCCGACCCTGCCTCCGAGAGCGGAGCCATTCACCCCACGGTGGCAGGATGGGTGGAATCAGGCTCCTTTCAGTGCCAGTGCAGGAGTGAAGCCTCAGAAATATCCTCCCTTCCCCCTCCATCCCACTCCGAGAGCTCAGGGCGACTCAGCAGCAGCACTCACCACGTTCCCCTGCTTCACGCAGTAGCCACTCTTGAGGACGGGGGGCCCGGCGGGAGGCTTGGTGGCTGAGATGGGGATGTGGCTCTGGGAGCGTTTCAGGAGAGGGTGAGTGGTCAAGTCGCCTCCCTCGGCTCCTTCCCCTCCATTCTGGAACAAAAGGAGAGTGAGATGCCTGCAAACTGCAAGTGCAGAGCAGCCCAGCCTCTAAGTTACCCTTCCCCTGGCCTCCAGGATGGGGATTCAAGAGCAAATGTTTTCCTAGCCCAGCCAGTGTCCCTACAAGCCGAGCGCTAGGGCAGCCTCCCAGGAGAGATTCACATGTCGCCCAGCTGATCAGCAGAGCGCCCACTGCCAGCAGCAGGTTTCTACTGGTGGTGCACATCTGCATGTCTTGGTGCACAGAACAAAATTCATTCTGCACATGGAGGGGAACACTGACCTCAGCTGAACAACAGACCTGCACGAGAGCAATCTTTGCCAGTGTGGTGCAAGTGAAAAAAACGCTCAGACACAGCCAGCCGGGTCCTCCGGGGGTACAGAGGCTGGCAGGCACCCCGCACCTCGGAAAGACAGGCTCCCAACTACACCCAGGAACATAGAACTGGGGGTAGGACGGAGCAAACGAATATCCTCTGAAGCAGGACAAGCCGGCCTGTGCCAGGGCCCGGTGATATTTTCTGTTTCCTTATTTACTCCACTCTTCATGGCTCCTAACGCTGCTAGTTCTTCCGACGGCTGCTGCACACAGAGCCGATGTTTTCAGAGAACGACCCACAAGGATCCTGAGCCTTCGCCCCCGAGCCGGAACAGCTCGTTTCAATCGCATCAGTTTGTGGGCGTGATCGGACTGAAGTTTTCCCATCTGCACTACTTGGCATGTGTCAGCACTGAATTTCACCTGCCCCTTGGGTGCCCAAGCACCTGGTGTTGCCAGATCCCTCTGCAGTCGGCTTTGGACTCAACCGGCCCCAGTAATTCTGTGTAGTCTGTGGGTTCTGCCACCACCCCGCCGGCCCCTTTTTCCAGTGGGGCGTGGGGCGGGCGGGGCAGGCACGCAGAAGGAAGCAGACAGCCTGGCAAGATGGGCCCATTCAAACCAGAGACGTTTCCACGCAGGCAAATACCAGGTGGGCCTGCAGGAAGAAGGAACGCAGCCTCCCCGGGTCTCTCCCAGCCCCCAACGTAAGGCTGCTGGGAGCCAGAGGGCTGGAATTCCCTGCCCTGCGCGAGCCCCC